ATCCATCCATCCATCCATCTTACGTGATATGCAATGCACATTTTTAGGGTAAGAGCACGAACAACACCAAGAAAGCCCTAGAGGTAGTAGGTAAAGTCAGTGGTGCACTGATGAAGCAGCTGGTAGCAGGAGACAAGCCCAAGGCCATCAAAACTGGTAACATGGACCTCGCCATTGGGCGTAAGAACCTGGATGATTTAGGAGCCGAAAATGATGACGATGATGAGAATGAAGGTGACACTGGGGGATTCAGACTACCGGACCCTGCCGCTTTATTTGGAGGTGCAAACGCGACGACTGAGGAAGGAGCAACCAGTGGCATCGGTTCAACGGTACAGTATTATGTATTAAGAGAAGTTTTTTTCAATAATGAGCAATAATGGCAAAGAGCGCCAAAACCTAGACTTTCGTATGAGTTTTGATCCCAAGTTTCCCTTTGGGTTACCACTCAAAACCTTTTTTAAACAGTTAGAAACTGACGTACTATGATGCCTGTTTGAAGCGGTATTTTCAATTGTACAAAGATGTTTCGTTGCATTTGTGTTACAATGTTGCTTTGTCAGGCTTTTTTTATAGAAAATATATGGGAAATAAGCAAATGAAGGCCCAAACCTCATTTTCGAATAAAATGTTTGCTTTGGGTTAACACTTTGATTCCACTTTCATCGGTCATCTCCACTTCCAAACAAGTTAAACTTTCTGAATAACAAGATTTTAGCCTTGTACAACAGCCTTTCTTCAAGAAAATAGTTTTTGGCGCTCACTGCTTGAATACGAAAAGAATTCTCTCCAAATACCATCGACTTTCTTTCGTTTTTTGAAGTAGAATTCTGTTCAGGTTGTAAAAACGTCAGTCACCACCACCAACAGTCTTTCCCAAGACTATAATCAGCCTCTTATTGATGATAAAAAATAGCCAATCAGCGTGCGAGAAATTTGTAAGTTATAGTAAAATTATTTATTGCAGATGACCGCGATGGGAGATAATCCATTCCCAAACGAGAAAGCAAACGATTTGAACTCAAAGACCATTGGCTTGGCTCTGACTGATGGTAATGGCAAGCCTCTAGATCTCGCGGGACAAACCCTCGAGATGTTCGTCCCGCGGGACCTAGTAAAGAACCCTATAAAACCGATGGAACTCAACCACTACGTCGCGGATGATCCACCAATGAGAGTCCACAAGTTCAACCGCACGAGCAACGATTCGGCCATCGCTGTAGAAATCCAATCATTTCATCCAAAAATCAAGTTCGCGATTATGATCCGATTTGAAAAACGACCAAGTGCGATGCATTTCGACTTCAATCACACGTTCCCGAGTCTTGAGGAGGCAGCGAAGATGCGGCGACGACCACACCCCTTCACGTACGTCATCAATCACGTGAGGGTGAAAGAGAAGCTGCTTGCCGTGGTCAACGGGAGTGTACTCAACAACGGAACGACGGGATCGTTTTACTTGGGGATTAAAGCTATAAACTTGGATGAACTGGGAAGCGTTAATGATAGTTATGCTATGAGGATTTATCTACCTGCTTGTAAGTCTTTTGATGACGAGACAAATGAATGGGTTACTAATGGATGCGTGGTGAGTAAAACAAAAAAGAAAAAGCTTATAATATGTAACCCAGGAGAAATGGCATTAAATACAAAAGGATTTATAAGGATTTGTATGGGAAAATGCGTTGGATGGCAAGCTTTCCTCTACAGCCAACATTATGAGCTAAAACTTTGCCTTCTTACTAATATCGAGGTGCTCTTTTCATTTCTGATGTTCATTTTGACAGAACTTCATTTTTTAAGGGAGGTAGGGTCACGTGACCTTTTGTTACAAAAAGCCTATGATGCCCATTCTTATTGATATATGTTACACAATCAGGTCCAGTCTTATTCCTATATATGTTACCCAATCAGGTCCAGTCTTATTCCTATATATGTTACCCAATCAGGTCCAGTCTTATTCCTATATAAGTTGCCCAATCAGGTCCAGTCTTCATCCTATATATGTTACCCAATCAGGTCCAGTCTTATTTCTATATGTGTTACCCAATCAGGTCCAGTCTTATTCCTATATAAGTTACCCAATCAGGTTCGGTGAGCTATGTTTTAGGGAATGATATCGATACCTATCCTATTACTAATCAGGTTGGCAACAAGACTAGAGCGAATATCACGCATTGCGTATGCATGCCTGGTGTTGAAGACGATGATGACATGGATCCAACTGCCTCGCCTATCTTCGACTCTCCTACCCCCGCTGCCTCGGTGCAAGGCGGTCAAGCAACTCCAGCCACGAGGAAAAGGTTTATTAGAAAGAAGGTCACGAAGCTTTCACTTGCAAGTAAGTAAAGGTGTTTTAAAATCACATGGCAAATGATCACGGTAATGCAACGGAGTTGACGATATTGTTTGTTTGAGTTGTATCCATATTCATGGGTCTTCTTATGCGCATGAACCATTAAACAAAGAAATGATACTCTAGAAAATGACACACGGTCTGGTATGAGAAAATGTTACGGCCAAGGTAAAGAGGTTTATTAGTCACAGTAAATGAATGCGATTCATATTATTTCATTATTACCATTTTTTGTTTTCAGGTAGCTTCTTTCCCGCGCCAAACCCCATCGACTTTAGCAAAGTTTTCAACGTCAACATTCTTGAGAACCCGATCTCGCTGGCTACTGTGCTAACCATCTTCTTGGTGTATCTTATCCTCGCTGTGTACGCTCGAAGAGAGGACAAAAAGGACGTCGAGAGGGTATGCTAATAATATCTTGAAAATATATTTTATTATTATTTTTGCCGATCGTTTTTTCGTACACTTACACTTGTCCGCGCGCGTAAAGAATGTCTGATGTATTTTGGTTCTATATTATGATCTATAAAGCTGGTATTTTCAATATTGTAGATGAAAATATTTCTGTAATGCATTCTTGCGGCCTATCATTCAATATCCTTGATTTCCATTGTCTATATACACCTATTTAATGACTTTCGTATGCAAAATATAAAGTACGATTGATGAGTACCGGTGATCATCCAAAGTAACCTTCAAATGTTATCGATGCTCTGGATCCAGACTCTTGGCTGATTTAAGTCAAGGCATGGCTAACTCGCAGATCAAACCCCGAAACAATCTCTGAGCTGATCTAAGTCAGGGCATGGCTGACTCACAGATCAAACCCCGAAACAATCTCTGAGCTGATCTAAGNAATCTCTGAGCTGATCTAAGTCAGGGCATGGCTGACTCACAGATCAAACCCCGAAACAATCTCTGAGCTGATCTAAGTCAGGGCATGGCTGACTCGCAGATCAAACCCCGAAACAATCTCTGAGCTGATCTAAGTCAGGGCATGGCTTACTCACAGATCAAACCCCGAAACAACCTCTAGGCTGATCTAAGTCAGGGCACGGCTAACTCACATATCGAACCCTGAAACAACCTCTGGGCTGATCTAAGTCAGGGCATGGCTAACTCACAGATCGAACCCCGAAACAACCTCTGGGCTGATCTAAGTCAGGGCATGGCTAACTCACAGATCAAACTCACAGATCATATTTGAATTTAACTTAAGATTTGCGGAAGGAGTAAAACTGGAGAAACCGGAGAAATACCCTCAAATCAAGGGAGAGACCTAACAAACTCTACTCACATGTAATGCTGAGTACAGCAAACGAACCCGAGACCCGAGGGACGAGAGTCGAGTACCCTACCGCTACACCACCGTCGATTTCTCTCGTCCCTTGGTCCTTCATGGTATATTATATTATTGTCAGCATTGTATTACTAGACTAATCATATATTCCTTCCGCAACAGGCTGGGGTAACTCCGCTCGAAGATAACGACCCACTAGACCGCTTTCACTACGAGATCACCGTCTACACTGGCTTCGGCAAAAAAGCTGGTACAACATCCCAGGTGTTATTCACGTTGGCAGGCGATGAAGGAGAAACAGAGCCGAGGATCCTCAAAGATTCCAAGCGCAAGACGTTCGCGCGTCGTGGAGTCGATATCTTCCTGGCTACGTTTCCCGAAAGCCTCGGAGAACTCAACTACTTGCACATCTGGCATGACAACTCCGGTAGATCTCCGTCCTGGTACTTAAGCCGTGTGGTTATTGAAGACCTGAACAATGATAAAAAATACCTGTTCATCAATGAATCGTGGCTGGCTGTCGAGAAGGGAGATGGTACAGTAGATCGTCTCATTGCAGTGGCCGGCCAAGACGAGATCACAAGCTTCAACCATTTATTTTATTCCACAACCCAAACAAAGCTTGCAGATGGTCACTTATGGTTCTCTATCTTCATGAGGCCAGCGCGAAGCCGTTTTACCCGCCTTCAGCGATTGTCCTGTTGTTTGACCCTCTTGTATTGTTCCATGCTCGCCAATGCCATGTTCTATAACATCGGTGGTGAGTCGGACCCGTCATCGACTATCCATATTGGACCACTCTCCTTCAGTCCCGCTCAAATCGGTATCGGGATCATGAGTAGCCTTGTGGTCGTTCCCGCCAACATCTTCATCGTCTCAGTTTTCCGGGGCGTCGAAGCCAAACCGACAGCGTTCGAGATGAAGGAACGCAAAAACCGCAAGCACTGGTGGTTGTACGAGCTTTTCTTCTGCTTTTTTGATCGCAATAAGCCCAAAAACGACTTCATAAATATTCTCCACAAGAACCATAATCCAGACGATCAGTTCTTGGACCTAAGCAGTAATAGTCGTACAAGTTTGACGGTGCCCCAGGGTCAGAGTATGGATAATCTCAGCAACTCCAGCCGTGTCAACCTCACAGAGCCCGACGACCAGGGAATGATGGACTTTGAACTGGGCGAAGACGATATCAACTTCAAGATTTCCAAGCAAGAGGAACGAGAGGAGATGGCTAAAAAAATGAAGAAGAAGAAAAAGAAGAAGAACTTTTTTCCTTACTGGTTTTTGTACGTTGGCTGGGCTGTCTGCGGAATGACCTGCTTTGTTTGTGCTTTCTTCATCGTCCTGTACGGCCTTCAGTTCGGTAAGGAGAAGTCTGCGCAGTGGTTGTCGTCCATGTTGGTGTCTTTCTTTCAAGATGTCCTCATAAGCCAACCTATCAAGGTGGTCATCATTGCTCTTGTTTTTGCCGCCATCATCAAGAAGCCACCCGAAGAAGAAGATGATGATGACAAGAAAAAGTTAGAGGACGAAGAGTTTTTGCACGAGTCGGATGGCGCCTTTGGTGAGTACCACAGTCAGGATATCTTTGTTTGTAGTTCTCAACATTAACCTCAATAATAAGAAATATAATGATACAGAGGTTTTGCACCATCACGTGCGCCCATAATACAGCTTGGACTGCCTGTGGTTAGATGGCAGAACAATAGAATTCCTTTGCTCTCGGGAATTGAATTATTTCTTATGTAAAACGATTGTATTGTTCCTGCCATCTTACATGACTGCCGTCATATGACGTGGCAAAACCTCTATTAGATATTCCAGTTTTGATGAAAAGGCTGGGTCGAACTGGCATTGCAGTGCATTGTGGGAATGTTTTAAAGAACGTATTTCCGAGACGGCGTACCCTAAAACAGTCTCACAATGCACTGCAATGCAAGCTCGGCCCAGTCTTTTCCTCGACCTTCGAATGGCTAACTGGACATAATATTTCTTTCGATATGAATTCCCTATCTCTCTCCTGGAAATTGGAATCTTGCTTGGAAAAATTAGCAGTTCCCGTTCGCCTCTGGCTCCTTCAACACAGGTAGCTCACGCTAATAATCGCATCTCTTTGTAATCAGTAAAACGAGACAAAAGAATGAAGCCCAAGGCAATGATCCGTCTGAAGCCACCAGACAAAGAGAAGCTGAAGAGAGATCGAGAACAGAGGTGAGACTAAGATATACCAATGACCAGGAATTCACTCACTGTTGACTTGTTTATTTCTTAATATTGACTATATAATTCTCCTCTTACCCAAACCTCACCCGCCCCATCCTCATAAAGCCCTTTCCACGCCTCATACTCACAAAGCCCTTTCCACGCCTCATCCTCATAAAGCCCTTTCCATGCCTCATCATCATAAA